TATATATATATATATATATATATACAGTATATTATTGTAGTTTTTGGTCAGTAAGATTTTCTTTAAATATATTAATACGAAAAATTAATGCTAATTAAAAGCAAAACAGATAAAGCAACAGATAAAGACATTTACTAAAGTCTCAAATAAATTATATTTAATGTCTGAATGCATGATCAAATAAATATTGTCTCAAACAATATTTCACAATTCTACAGGTTTTTTTCAATAGTTATCAAATAAATGCACCTATGGTAAGCATAAAAGAAAAAAAAACTACTGAACCCACACTTTTGACCTTTTGAACTATTTTCTTAACCAAATGTAATAAATATAAAACAGTATATATATGTACATCTCTGACCTCATATCATTTCAATTCTATATTAAATACTTTGTGGAAGATTTTTTGTTGTTGCTGCAGTTACTTCATACCTAACAACACTTCTCATTCATGGTTAAATCATAGCAAGACACCGTCTCTCATGGCTTATTGCTTTTTTAACCCCCAAACATCCCCTATACCTGAATGTTCCTCTCAAGCAGGACCTTGTGTTCTTCCAGCATCCTCCCTCTGTTTTCAGTGCTGCTCTCCAGGGTCCTGAATTGCTGCTTTCACACTGGATGCTCTCACTCTTCAAAGCAATCACACAGAGAATGACAGTCCGTGCACTCTGGGGTGCTCATGAATGCCAATGAATATGAGCTCCTGTAATGATTTCAACAATCAGATATTTTGAAAACCTTCAAACAGTTCTTAACAGTGTGTTAACAGTTCTGATTTTTTCTGACTACACAATTTCTATTAATGTAAACATTTAAAGAGAAAGAAAAAAAAAACATTTGAAGTTCATTCACTCACCCTCATGTCATTCCAAACTCTCATTCTGTTTATCACAAAAGGTGAAGTTTTGACCAATATCAAGATCAGTCTTTTCAAATATAAAAAGCGAAGGAGGACCGGGGCTGTAAAGTTCCAAAATAACAAAAACCTTTAATAAAGCATCATAAACATACCTTAAAATACTTGTGCTCTACATTCTGAAGTCATACAATAGCTTTGTGTGAAGAACAGATCATGATTTAAGATACTATTCAGTGAAAATCATGACAGTCAAAATATCTGCAATGATCTTCAGAAGAAAACAATATTTCTATATTTATTTCAAAACACAAATACTGTTGTTTTCCAAATATACACACAACAAAACCATATGTCATCTCCTGACACTCATTTGGCTTCATAATAATTTATGCAAAAGTTAAGTTCTGAAAGAGCTTTACAATTTTGAGATGACAGATTTCCTCTCACTCAGTTCCTCTTAAACACGAACAAATGGAAAAAAAGCAATAAAAGACAAATCAATGACTTGTCAAGCTATCATTTACAAATGAATGAACATATAAAGTATGTGTTACCTCACTCTGCATCAGCTTTAGGATAAGTTAATGGCAGGTGGGTAGCAAAAACAAAAGCATTCAGACTGAATAAATGACAAAGCACCGTTGTCTGAAACTTCAGAGATGATTATGAATAGATGCGGTGTGAAAAATCTCTTTCAAACTTTACAGGTCCTGATTAGAAAAATATTCACCATAGACATACACGTGACATTAACTTCCGTATGAAATGCAGTATTTTCTCCCATTATGGGTAAATTATCGCTCATGTCAGACCTCTTAAACTGTCTAGACTAGCATAATGTCCCGTTCCCACCAAGAACGATAACTATAAGGTGGTTTTAAAAGTCGTTCTAATCTTATTCTTAGAGGACCTCAAACCAGACCACAACAGTAATAATGACGCCATGGAAAGATATCGTTTGGATCACGTTCAGGGCATTTTTCCAGCTGATAAACCATAAAAATAAACAAAACCCCAACCGACTGTAAAGCACGCGCTCCAAAGCTTCACAGTAATACATAACGTTATATGACCCGCTGTTTGGACGTGTCTAGTTCACACGATAACTTAACTTTAGGTAACAATTAGGTTTTGAACTGAGAAACGGTATATTTAGAACCACTTTCAGAACAATTATTTCCAGCAGATGAACGTTAAAACACTGACGGCCCATCAGAATCCATCCGACTTCACAGAGCTCGAGCATTCAAAGCGGTAGACTATATTTACTGCAGAGCGTGCTTATAAAAACAGAACGTTATTGTTCGTTGGTGTGGACGCTAATATAGTTCATATTGTTCTTGGTGTGAATGGGTCTTAAAAGAATAGCAGAGTCCACTTAACTTTAACGATAACAGCATGGACTTCCGTATCGTTGGAATCTATTTCAGAGCGATTTTTCCAGATAAACGATAAAAACATTGACAGATATTCCAAATCAATGCAACTTTTTCACAGAACGTCACTGCAGTGCTTAGAATAAGCACAACGTCATTCTTTGTTGATGTGGAGTTGTAGATGTATTGTTATAGTTATAATTTTCATTCTCGGTGTAAGGATATGTTCTATACATGCAAATAAATTACTGTTCTGTTTAAAATAATCTTATAATTTGTCCAAATAAAATAAAAAATTACCAAAAGAATCATTAAGAGAACCATTTAGCAAAAAATACTTATGACTCTCATCCCTAATAATTGCATTAATAATACATTTGACTACAGGACATAAAACCCCTGTCATTTCTCACTCCTGACTGCTGAATATTCCTACTTCCTTAAGAAACAGACATATTTTTAGAGTCTGATCCATTTTGAGTCCATAAGTAGGTGGTGTACCACATTCTAGGGCGAGATAAAATAATTACAGAAGAACTTTAGAAAAAAACTTTGATGGATGAGGCTGTCTGGTGGATGCAAATGAGAGGTTGAGAGACAGAGACAATCCATTTAGGCGAGAATATTCCAGTTTGCTTCTGAAGTACTTGTATTCCTCGTTTATCCTTTGCTTAGCGTGTTTGGCCCCAGGGTCCACAGTCCCAGTGTCTGGATTTTTAATGAGTGTCTCCTCACAACCATCAGACTGACAGGAAACGGTGTCCCTGTTACATAGTAGTCTCTTCCCATTCCAATTCTACATCACCTGAGAGAACAAACATGACAAAACACGTTTCCATCAAGACAAAACAGAAGAATGACAGAGATCTTTAACCACCTGCCTTCACTGCACTGCACAAGTCATTGAATGTAGGATGTATTTTACCCTCCATTGCATCCAGCGAGTCCATCTTCTCCAGAGCGGAGTAATTTACAAACCATATGGACTGACTGTTTCCTTTTGCAGACAGCAGATCCAGAGTGCTTTGATGCAGAAACATGTACTGAGCCTGAGAGAGAGGCAGATATAAATATCTGAGCAAGAGAACATGATCATCTCACACAAGTCTACAGAGACGGAACTATTTTCGCAATATAAAGTGAAATCTGTCGGTTTTAAATAGGTTTACCAGGTTTTGCACCATGCACATCCTCTCACTGCGTAGCTCTGCGACCAGGCCATATATATCCACAAAATCATGATCCCTCACATGCTGAATGAGATGATCCAGGGCAATGAACACTCCAGTCCTGCCCACACCAGCACTGCACATAGAGACATTACATACATGTGTATAAAATTTACATACTGTATACTGTATGTAAAACTAAGACCATGAAAAAAAAATATGTCACTTTAAATAAATCCTAACACATACTGTATCATAAATCTTACTATGTACTGAAATAACTAGATTCTAAAACTGAAAAAATGAATAAAAACTACATATAGAGCAACTTAGTGTTGAAAAAAAAAATTACAAAAACTTTAAAACTAAAATGAAAATGAAAATATTTATTAAATATACTTTATATTATATAAACTACAGTAGTGTCTTAATGATACTAAAATAACACTGGCCAGTCCAATTGAAGCTTGTTTTGTAAAATAAAATAAAATGGTAATTGTGAGAGTTTAAAATAAGAAAATATGTGAGACAAGTATAGAAACTGAGAGAGAATTCTCAGAAATAATGTTGTAATTATGAGATATAAATTAATGTGCAAGATATAAAGTCAATTAGCCTGAGGCCTATCTGAGAGATATAAAGTATCAGTTGTGAGATATAAAGTCACATTGTATAATACACAATCACAATCATGACTTGCAACTGCAAAATAAAAAAATAGTCACAATTGTGTGATATGAAGTTGCAATTAGCTTTTTCTTTTACTCTGAGGCAAAAATGGACTTCCATGCAACTCAGACTCTAACGTAAACATGCACCAGTAGCTCACTGTAGAGAAAAGCCTCAAGACTTCCTGTTAATCTAATGGGCAGATATACGCACCTGCAGTGGACCACGATGGTTGTGTTGTCATGGCCTCTGTGTGAGCGAACCGCTTTGACAAACTGGATGAGTGTGGAGCTGGACTCCGGAACGCCGTGTTCTGGCCATGAGGTGTAGTTAAAATGATGAACAATCATATAGCTTCCGTGCTGGAGAGAGAAAGAGAGAGGAAGGGCTAAATGTGTCCCTGGGGACTAATCATCTATTCATCTAACCACCCACATCTGTGTGTGTTATTGTACATTTTTGGACTTGTATAAGGCCATAGACATACAGTACTCAAGTATGCATATGCAGAACTGACTACACAATCAGCACATGCAAGCATGCCGCATGCGGCCCCATGATACATACATTTCTGTGGCAGTAAAAAATCTCAATACTTCTGGGAATGAGTTTTCTTTAAATTAAACTGGATGCCATTTAACTGGACAAGAAAATGCAACTAGCTAGCAATAAACCTCAAAATGTTTTACCCTCTCCACTCTTAGTGCCCGGACCGTCCAATCAGGATGCACATCCTCTGTGAGTTTAGTGATTATGATGTCAGCAAAAACAGTAACGGGTTTATTGTCCTCTGGCCAGTACTGATGACAGCGGATCTGAAACATACAGCCACATTACATTTACAGTTTATCATTATAATGCATATATTTCAGCAAATCACAGTCAAACATTTATTTAATTGTGCTTTAATTGTATTTACATTACATTTATATTTAATCATTTAGCAGATGCTTTTATCCAAAGCGACTTACAAATAAATGAGGACAATGGAAGCATTCAGAGTACATATTACACATACTCTTAAGTGTAAAAAAAGTGTAACAAGTTGAAAAAAAATAAATAACCAATAGAAATAAATAAAAAAACGTAATTAATTCAGATGGCTGGAAATCACATTTATTATTATAATATATTATATTTATAAAATATTATTATATTTAAAGCCACAAGTTTTACATCTCTCCATAAGTCCATACATGAAACAACACTGTAATGGTGGGTAGAAAATGTATAGAAAGTAAATATTTTATACAAATTTAGAATATTTATCCTTTATGTATTTAAATTTATCTAAATGGGTTTTATACATTATATTAGAAAATACAAAAAAAGTATATATTTTTTCTCTGTATAAATTAGTATATATACTTTTAATTAACCTATAAAATCCATTTACGTGGTGAAAAATATAAATATATCTGCTTTTATATTTTATGAATGAAGTGGCTCACAAAGACATTATGATATTTATGAGTCCATGGCATCAAAACTAGAGAAAAAAGCTGTTCTTTGCGGGACTCCAATGATTCTCCTACGACATCAGACTGTAAAACCGTAGAACATATTTTTAAGATTATATATAAGAGTATATACAGTCAAACCAAAATTTCAACATTTCTCACATGATCACAGTTTATTCACTATAGTTTAGAAAATGGTAATACAATATGACAAGAACTCTGTGTCAAAATCTTAATCTTGATAATGTCAGATAACTTTAATAGAAAGGTATGTAATGAATTAGGTTGAAAGTACACAATTAGATAATATCAATTTACCAAGCAATGCTTAGTTTTGTCCAATCTGTGGTGTAAAAAGATTGCATTAGCAATTAAAGAAAAAACACTTAAGCAAAACATGGTCAGGTGAAAATGTCTGAATAATTTTTGGTCCCAAATTATTATCAATATTTACTGGTAGTCCACTGTATGAAGAATTTTTGGGAATAATTTGTCACAGTTTACTTTATTTTGCTATCCTCACTTACATAAATGAACTATAGTGTCCTGCACCCACTAGTAAAAAGATATAAAAAATTATATCTGGTCTGAATAATCTTTGGATTGACTGTACAAACATATATCTAATTGACTACATTGTTTTGTTCGATCACACACATACACACCCGGCCCTTCTCAAAGCACTGAGTGAGCATGATAATGGTTTTGGTCCCGGTCTCCCAAATCATCCTCCAGAAGTCTGCGACGGTACTAGGCAGAGGACCCTGAGTGGCTATAAACTCATTAGGACATAGATAGCCCTGAGACACAGAGACAAGACACAGAACAGGAGCTTAGACCAATTCAATTAAAGTTGAGCTGCAGTATAAAAGAGAGAGACAGCTGATATGTGGGTTGATCTCAAGCACTTACGGAGACGAAGCTGGCATTGATGTAGTCAGACCCCGGCATTCCTGGCTCAGATAGTAACTTCACTCGGTTATTGTTGTCTAAAAAAGTTAAAAGTATGTTTATATAAAGAAAGCCTGGTGAGTTTTAAAGAAAGATGTTCTTACCCTCATGTCGTTCAGAACCTTCATGACTTTCTCGGAACAAAAATAAAACATTCTGAATAACAGAGCTGCCCTTTTCCATATAATAAGCATGTTGCACAAAAAATGCTTCTTGAGCAGACAATCAGCATATTAGAATGATTTCTGAAGGATCATGTGACACTGATGACTGGAGTAATGATGCTGAAAATTCAGCTTTGCATCACAGGAATAAATTACATTTTAAATGATATCAAAAAGAAAACCGGTATTTTAAATTGAAATATAATTTCACAATTTTCCTTTTTTTTTTTTTTACTGTATTTTACTTTTGAATAGTAGTTTAGCACACAAGTCATATGGGACACATTTGAGGTGCTTTTATGTCCTTTTTGGTGCTTGACAGCCTGTTAACATTCTGTTAAACCTCTCCTTTTTTGTTACACAGAACAAAGAAAGTCATACAGGTTTGAAACTACATGAGAGCTAGTAAACAATGTCAGAATGAATTTTTTTCCCCTACAGGGTTTAATGTTTGTGAAACGATTTTTGGAGCGATTCCACGGCAGGTCAGCGTCTGATGTGGCCAGATCCTGAAGCAGCTTCGGTAGCTCCTGAAACACACAGCAGAAAACGTCCAATTATTAAACACACCGGGAAGAAAATCAATCAACCATAGAAAATATTCAGCAAAGTCATATGCCACTGAGCACATAACTCTATGTGCCCAATCAGAACGAGGTGTCACTGAAACTCATTTTACAGTTCACTAGTACTTTCTCTCTCACCCACCTACACACTTTAATGCTAAAACTTACAGCAAACTCCTCCTGAAACTTGGCATTGTCGTTGGCACAAAGATCTTCCACATGCTGAAGAAATGATTTCTTACTGATTGGCCTGGAAATGTGTTAAAAGAGAGATAAACAGAGCATGAAATATCCACAAAACCATAAATAATCATCATCTTCAGCATTGTTACCACTACAGCAAGCATTATTTCTAAAGAACACCTCTTAAGAGCAGGTGGTTATGGGTAATCATCTGTTTTGGGGACTCACATATTTATTGAACAATAACAGAGAAAAACAAGAAAATAATATAAGAAAGAGAATAAAATATCAATCAGTCCATCAAGTCTCCTTCACTTACTTGAGAGATTTCCTGTAACTTAGCAGCCTGGAACATTAGACAGTAGAGAATTATTATGAAATTGGCCTTGCACTGAAAAATTAGGTTACTTTTTCACTTTCAGTGATAAATAAGAAATTAATCTATTTGAAGTTCACCACACGATCTAATTAGAGGAAGACACACAAACATAAAAGAATCGGAGAGTCATTCTATGTGATCTTTCAGGCACAAATACACAAAGCAGAGCAGAACTACACAGCAGCATTATGAAACCGAACAGCCCCAAATTATAGCAAGGCAGATAATTTAGTGTGGCATATTCATTCATAATAAAACACATTCAATGCCAGGTACTAACACCACAACATGCAACTGGGAAAATAAAAGTTTCATCTTTAAAACGAACGAAAACAGTGATGCTACATATCATATAGGATCATGCATCATCTAAACACCAACATCTCTGTCTACTTACTGGATGACAAAAATCTCCTTCCTTCTAAAGAAAAAGGAGGAATACCTGAGAACAGAGGATAGTGCAAGTGTTTGAATGGATTAGTGAGAGTGAATGAATGAAAAGATGAATGAGTGAGTGAGTCATTGAGTGAATTAGTGAGTGAGAGAGAGAGTAGAAGACAAAATCACATATAAACTAGTGCTATCAAACGATTAATCGCAACTAATCGCATTCAAAATAAAACATTTTGTTTACATAATATACATGCGTATACTGTGTATATTTATTATGTACTGTCTATATGAATACAAACACATGCATGTATATATTTAAGAAAAATATGTTATGTTTCTATATTAAATATATTTATATATAATATAAAATATATTATTTTAAATATTTTAAAAATATATACTGTATGTGTGTGTATTTATATATACATAATAAATATACACAGTATACATACATATATTATGGAAACAAAAACTTTTATTTTGGATGCGATTAATCGCGATTAATCGTTTGACAGCACTCAACAAAACACAAATAACTAAAGTCCACTGCTCATATACAGTTTGTGTACAGTGTCTCACCGGTTAATCTTCTCCTCTTTGAGCTCCAGGTCGGCCACTGCAATGAGCTGATCCAGCTTGAACTTGGTCTCGATGATCTCTGCCTCGCGTGGCGAGTACGTCCCGCCTTCCTTCTGCCTGCGGTGGATCCTGGGATTGGAGAAAGTGAGTCTAGATTGTTAAACCAGGAAAACCAGAGGCTTTTTTGGGGGGGAAATACTATTTGAGTATGTTGCTGAACTCCTATATACAGCAACACTAAACTTACCTCACAGATCCGTATATAATCAGAATTAAAAACAACGCCAAGAAAAATGACAGCAGGACCCCAAGAATGATCTGCTCGTCTCTGGTCAGCAGGCGGTCATCTGAAATCACAGTCAATATGTATACCAAGCAGAAGCAGTACTTGTTCACAATGAAATGTGTTGTTCTACAAGCCCAGCGTTATAGAAGGTACATGTATAAGAGCACAAGTACAGTACATTTTTGAATGCTTTTAAAATAAGTGTCACCAAGGCAGCATTTTTTGATCAGTAAAAACAGTAAAATTGTGAAATGTTATTACATTAAAAAAAAACTGTTTTCCATTTGAATATATTTTAAAATGTAATTTATTCTTGTGATGCAAGGCTGAATTTTCAGCATCAATACTGATCCCAGCATCCCATGATCCTTCAGAAATCACTCTAATATGATTTTTTGATGCTCAAAAAATATTTCTTATTAAAACAGGTGTGCTGCTTCATTTGTTTTTGCAAATCATGATGACTATGGAGTTATAAAGTTCTAAAAAAACTATTTACTTGCAAAGTTTGTAAATGTCTTTACTGTCACCTTTGATCAATTGAATGTGTCCCAGCTAAATGAAAGTATTAATTAAAATCTGACCCCAAAGTTTTGAGCAATAGTGTACATGAAAAAGTAGAAATGCTAACAAGCCATATAGTTTTTTGGGGGGAAATATAAAATATAAAATCTCATACTAAAACAAAAGTATATTTTCGTATTTGATAAATAATTTAGAAATAGAAATGGGGAAAATGTGAGCGAGACATCACAGCTGGTCTCAGTGCATTAATACTGTAACAGCCCTTGTGTGCTACTTGCGTCCATACCTGCGGTTCTGACCCTATCTGAGTACTCAGAGTCTGTGTACTGCCCACGGATGTTTGTTGCCCGAAATCTGAACCTACAACACAAAAATAAACAGGTTAAAAGACTCCTGGATTGAAATATTAATATTTACAACACAGATTAGTTGTGTGTGCATATGTCACTCACACATAATATGTTTTGGGTTTAAGGGGTCCGTTACAAAGTGTCCTGGCATCTTCAGACAGGCAGCTCTCATCTGCTCCTATAATGTATGTGTTAGTGTTTGTGCTCATGCGCTCTGCTTTCTCCGAGCACCTTGGGTTCAAGAAGCCCTCGTCAGTCAGGTATGGCGCAGTAGGGTAGAGGAAAACACTCTTCCAGTTGGACAGATTTCCGTAGTCCATCACTTCATCAACATCAGAAAAAAAATATAACAATAAACCTTCCTAATGTTTTGAAAGAAGTCTCATTCGGTCACCAAGGCTGCATTTATTTGATCAAAAAATCGGTAAAACTGTAATTTCTATTTGAATATATTTAAAAATGTAGTTTATTCATGTGACACAAAGCAAAATTTTCAGCAGATATTAAAAATGATTTATGCTCAAGAATAATGTCTTATTCTTATCAATGTTGAAAAGTCCACTCACGTTATTCTGCGTGCTTAAGATGCGTTTTTTTCTTTCTACATGTTATCTTAAGGGTTTTTCCATTGTTTTAGTTTTAGTTTTAGTATAACATTATAATACCATTCATATTTTTACTTTTTTTATAATTTAATGAAGAAACCAACCTGATGTTTAGTTGACATTTGAGGCTTAATACCATAGAAAAGCACTGAAAGTTTTCAGCTTGTTTATTTTCATATAAAAATACGGCATACAGTTGCATAAAACAATGGTATAAACATAATTCAATGTAAATTGTGATAATCGTAATTAATAATCGCAATTACAATTTCAAGGGAATAATTGACAATTATGATTTTTGTCATAATCGTGCAGCCCTACTTAAAGTGTCAATTGCCTTTATTGCTAGTGTTAAATGTCATTTTATAATACCTGCCGGTTCAGAAACAATGACCTGGACTTTTTGGATTGGTCCATGGTCATCTGTAAAGAAACATTCAGGCATCTCAATGGTGATGGTTTTGGAGGTAGAGATGATGACACCTGCGTTGTTCAGAGCAGCCAGTGGCCTCCTCGACGGTTTGGGTGGTGCTAAATAAACCCGTCAGAATCTTAAAATGGCAGTCACTTCAGGAAAATAGTACAGCTGACTGGTTTTCTCATACCTTTAACACCTGTGGTGACCTGGACCTCTGAACTTGGTCCTAAACCTGCTCCATTCACAGCTGCAATCTGCAACAAGCACAAAACAAATGCATTTGGCCTAATTGTGGAAGTCAATAAACAACTTCAAGTACCATTCTGTGCAGGTGAAGTTTTAGTATTTAAAACCAAAGGAATGAAAAATATTGCTTTCCATTTTTGGAGCTGCCTTCTCTGTTGTTACCTAGATACGGTTTTAAATAGCTGCTGCTAGTGCTCACAGTGGTATCGGATGATGCAAACGTACCACAGCTCAGTTCAATCTCAGAAAAAAAGGTCAAAAAGCTGTCTTTCAAAAGGTACTAACATGTACTTTTGAAGTCCTAACATGTACCTTTAAAGTACTAATATGTACTATTTAGGGGTAAATTGGGTACAAAGATGTACCTTTTAGCTTTTGTACCTCGGGGTACTGCCCCAGTGACAGCTTTGTACCTTTGTTTTCCTGTGAGTATATGAACGAGAAAGAGACCTGTGCATGTAGGGGAAGAGGCTGGAGATGCACTTTAGACCAAACAACATATCAAGGGAAAACATTAGGTGTGAATGCCCCTAAAATGTTTAGGTTTTAGTTTGCTACCCTTATGCTGTAATTGAATCCACCCTTCAGTCCATCTATAATGGCCGTCATGGTGTTATTAGGGTTGCTGATCACAGGCAGGCTGTTTATGTAGAAGTCCAGTTGTCCGTTCCGATAGATGGCGACGTGGTAGGCACTGATGTTTCCGTTCGGCTCATCCGGTGGAGAGAATGTTACATAAACACGTGTCACTTCCTCTGGGATCACTATCAATGTCACGTTTTTGGGAGGATCTTTGGGCGCTGGGAAAACATGACCATGAGTGTGACAGATAAGTCATGCATGCATGCATTCAATGGATATCTGATAATCAAGCATGCACAAACATCCTCACCGTCCTCCAGGGTTCTGACGAGGATGGGTTCAGATGCTTTGCCGTCTGTGCGAGCGTTGGAAAGCTGCCCCGTGAAGGCGGTGATGGTAATAGAGTACAGGGTAAATGCAGTCAGGTTCCCGACAACCACCGCCCTGATCTCCTCTGAATGCCGCACTAGGCTTATGTTATATCCCAAACCATCCAACTGAAAGAGGACAGAGAGAAATTGAAGAGGAACATTTCAGAAAGTCAACAGATGAACCAGATTTCTCAAATTTATGAACTCACAGCAGCGATGTCAATGATGTATGAGGTGGGCCCTGAAATGACCGATGGTTCGTCCCACACAATCTTTAACCCAGTGGGAGAAGGAAACACTGATATGGCACCAGGGGGGGCATCAGGGTCTTAGACAAAAAGATAGAGAGGGAAAGAAAAAAAAAGGGTTTGCTATATACATATGACAACCCAAGGGGAAATGATGTAGCTCAAAACCTCAGGAGACTTAATAAATGTTTGCTCTAAGCTGCACTTCTCATATTGTTCCCACGTAGACCAAAGAACAGTCTCTGCAAAAAGCAAATGCTCAAAAATGGGTGGAAAAAAATTTTGATCTTGAGAGTTCTTGAATCAAAGCTAATGGATTAGGCAGCGTTTCAACAACATTGCATAGAGAGGGAAAGAAAAAAAAAGGGTTTGCTATATACATATGACAACCCAAGGGGAAATGATGTAGCTCAACACCTCAGGAGACTTAATAAATGTTTGCTCTAAGCTGCACTTCTCATATTGTTCCCACGTAGACCAAAGAACAGTCTCTGCAAAAAGCAAATGCTCAAAAATGGGTGGAAAAAAATGTTGATCTTGAGAGTTCTTGAATCAAAGCTAATGGATTAGGCAGCGTTTCAACAACATTGGCCATTGATTTTCAGTATGGAACTAAAATCGTGAGAATGCATCTCTGATTCACAAGATCCGTGTACACTGCAGAGATTTCATAGCAGTGTCAAACAGAACTGAAAGACAAATGTTCCAAACACAGTGAAGCTCACAGAGGCCATGCATCATTACTTTCTTGCTCTTGCTTGCTCTTATTTCTCTCGTCTGATTTTTTTATTCTAGAAACCATAGACAAATTTTGAAAAAAAA